TCTGTTTCTCCCTCCCTCCCACCCTGCCTTTCAAATAAATAAAATAAATCTCTTTTAAAAATACGCTTGGTCAGAGGCACCGTCCACGCCGGCTCGCGAGCGCCTGCTATCCGGGGGAAGTAAGTGCTGGCGCCGCCTCACTTGCGAGGGTCTCGGCTGAGAGGATACACCGTTCAGTGAGCAGGCACAGGTTCAGAGATCCAGGAGAGGCGCACGGAAGCTGGATCAGAGACAAAGCGCCGCGCCAGCTTCCTCAGCTTGCTGGGGAAGCAGAGAAGGGAAGGGGATTCTGCCCCGCGCGCGCTGGGCTTTCACTGGCTGGCGCGGGGGCACCGGACAGGGGTCCGGGAAGCGTGGGCGCGTGCCAGGGCAGCAGGGCAGTGGGGTCAGGGTGGAGCTGGAAGGCGCAGAGACTGGCTGGGAAGAGAGAAGGGTGGGATGTGGCTGAGGAGAGAGCCCATCTCCCCATCTCACCCTAGGCAGCCCTTCCTGGCCCAAAACTGGAGGATCCACCTTATTTGAGCTTGTGAGAAAACCGCACAAGACTCACAACCCGCATTCTCTATGCATTGTACACCGTCACTTCTGCCCAGAGAGCCACACAAAAGCAGGATCCTGCTACAACCAAGACGCAGAGATACAAAGTGACCCCCCGAAACCCCTGCTCGGGTCCCCACGAGTGAATGAAAGGAGGGAGGGGTGTGCTACACCCTAGAGGAGGGAGGGGTGCTACACTCTAAAGGAGGGCGGGTGTGCTATACCCTAAAGGAGGGCGGGGTGTGCTACACCCTAGAGGAGGGAGGGGTGCTACACCCTAGAGGAGGGAGGGGTGCTACACTCTAAAGGAGGGCGGGTGTGCTACACCCTAAAGGAGGGCGGGGTGTGCTACACCCTAGAGGAGGGAGGGGTGCTACACTCTAAAGGAGGGCGGGTGTGCTACACCCTAAAGGAGGGCGGGGTGTGCTACACCCTAGAGGAGGGAGGGGTGCTATACCCTAAAGGAGGGCGGGGTGTGCTACACCTCTCAAGGAGGGAGGGGTGTGTTACACCCTAGAGGAGGGAAGGGTGTGCTACACCCTAAAGGAGGGCAGGGTGTGCTATACCTCTCAAGGAGGGAGGGGTGTGTTACACCCTAAAGGAGGGAGGTGTTACACCCTAAGGAGGGAGGGGTATGCTACACCCTAGAGGAGGGAGGGGTGTGCTACACCTCTAAAGGAGGCAGGGGTGCTACACCTCTGAAGAGACCCTCCTTGCCCACCACCTGGTGTAAGAAGTCAGGAGCGCAGGGTGCGAGGCGAGCCCACCTGTCGAGCCGGGAGAGCCTCAGAGGCCAGGACACCCTCCCTTCACACAGCTCCCGAAGTCCAGGCCGCAGACCCACAATGGCAACCAGCTCGGGAGCACGGAGACACGGTCGCGGCTGCCTCAGTGTCGGCCAGGCCCCAGGTCCTGCTGGACACAGGCTCGCTGAAGCGCCAGGCTGCGCGGACGGGCTGGGGGCTGCTCCGGCAAGCACGCGCCCCCAAAACCGGGAATGGGCATGGACGCAAAAGGCAGAGCTCTGTGCCGGACCAACAGGGAAGCACCAGTCCCGTCACTGCACTTCTGCGTCCGCTGCTTGTGTGAGATCACGCCACAAGAGGAACCTTCAAAAGTCAGAGCTGCATTTTGGAATCTCACCGTCGCAATTAATGAGGCAAAGACGTACCTTATCTGGCTGGCGGGCTGACAGCCGGAGGGTGGGTGCTCCCAGCGCGGCAGACGCCCTCAGCCTGGGGCCCTGTGCCCGCTTCCAAGCCTCAAGCTCCCGACTCAGCTTCCTGCTACTGCAGACCACACCAATGGTGGGGGGGCTGCCCGGAACCCCGCCTCCCGGCTTCACCGTGGCCGCCCCTGGCCATCACAGGCATTTGGGGAGTGAAGCTTCAGGTGGGAGCTTGCTTGCAAAATTTTTTTAAAAACTTTAAAAAATATAAAAAAGACACTTGACTTGCATTATTTTGGGTACAGAAACTAGAAGTTAGGAATCATCCTACTTCTTGTAACTGTATAGGTTTTAGAGGCCAGCGCTGTGGTGTAGCGGGTAAAGCCACTGCCTGCAGCGCCGGCATCCCCTATGGGTGCTGGTTTGAGTCCTGGCTGCTCCACTTCCAATGCATCTCTCTGCTGTGGCCTGGGAAGGCAGTGGAAGATGGCCCAAGTCCTTGGGCGCCTGCACCCCCATGGGAGACCTGGAGAAACCTCCTGGCTCCAGGCTTCCGATTAGTTCAGCTCCGGCCGTTGTGCCCATCTGGGGAGTGAACCAGCAGATGGAAGACCTCTCTCTCTCTCTCTCTCCGCCTTCAAATAAATAAATCAATCTAAAAAAAAACTAGGTTTTAGAGAAGATGGGGTTTTTACATCCCCTCCTTCTGTGTTTAAATTCTTCCTCAAGGTTTACGATGGACTCAGGAGGCCGCGTCCAGGCAGGCTCTCTAGGCCCCGCAGTTGGGAGTGGAGAGTCCAGAGCGGAGTGTGGGGGGTTAACTGCACAGGTCAGACACAGAGTCAGACCCTGCTCAGACCTCCTCGGAGGAGCCCAAGAAGTCCCTGCTGATACTCTGTAGCGATTCTGCCAGGGGCCCCCCACGGGGTTCTCAGCACAGCTGGGGCCACCCCCAGACACAAGGGTAAGATTTTTAAATGGTTCGAAGGCTCAGGTTCCCTGGGAAACCCGCCCATCGGACTACTTATTCTTTTCAACAGCTCAAAAAAGCGAGAACCAGTCATGTTCCTGCCTTTGAGGTAGACGAGGGCACCAATGTGATAGCATCTATCCGCCCGCAGCAGGCCTCGGCAGACCCACCGCGGCCACGGCCAAGTGCGCTCAGCTAGGAAGTCCTTAGTGTTACAAATGGAAGTAGCAAAGCCATTTGCAATTTTTCAGCAATTCAGATAGAATGTATTTAATTACTCTAAATTAGGGAACAACAGAGGCTCAGGAAGACACTACTCCAAAAATTCCCTTTTAAGTGAGATTATAGTCTTCACGCGAAGAATGAAAGCCAACTGCGGGGCGGCCCTCTAACCACAGAGCGGCCAGCCCGCCCGCCGCCTGCCAGCACTGACCCTGCCTGTATTTCTTCAAGCAGAGCCGCCCCCTTCCAGGGCCCTCCTCCCACGACACAGCAGCCAGCCCTCAGAAATGGGCCTGCAGATCCGGACGGCGACCGCATTTCACGCCAGAAATGGGCACAGCCCCAGACCCGGACGGGCGTGGGCTGCTCAGGTCTGGACCTAACAGGTATTTCTTCCTTCGGGTCAAGGTCAAATGGGACTGCGAGGGCGGCTTCTCCAGGGAAGGTGCTGAGAGGCCGCTGCCCACATGACCTTGGCGCGGCTCCGAACCCCTGGGCCCCTGGCACTGGCTGCAACACCAAGAAACACCGGGAACTTCGGCCGGCCCGACGCAGGGTCTGCCCATCACAACCCCAGCGCCGCCTTCCCCAGGGGTCTTCACTCTCTCCAGGCCTCCAACGTGCAAACTGGAATCCCCGGCTGAGGCTCCCACTCCACACCCCAGGACAGCGGCCCCTCCCTGCTCTCCACGTTGGCCAGGCTCAACCCAACCAAGTGACATCAGGGAATGCAGAAGGCAGAGAACTAACGGAACGGACAGCTGGCCAGCCCCATCAGGGGAGCGACCCGTGGGGACCAGGGCTTCGGGGCGGCAGGCCTGTGGCAGGGCAGGCTCAGGGGTGTGACCAAAGCCGGGACCGCGGGGCCTGCAGCCGCCCGGAGCCCGGCGGACAAAGGCAAGCGATGCCCCTGCCCAGGGCAGGCGGCGCTGGGGAATTTGGGAGCCACGTGCCTGGGGAGCAGGCTCAGAGCAGCAGGAGCCCTGGCCGTGTCCTCGGCCGAGTGAATGCGCCCACTCCCGCTCTGCTGTAAGACAGGGGGATTAGAAAAAATGTGCTACTGCTCTAAGTTTTTTGGGAACTTTTCCAAAGAAAGAGGCCCACTCCGAAGCCGGGGTGCTCAGGAACCCGCACATCTCCCCCCTGCCCCAGGAAATCGCGAGAGCACTCAGCACCTGAACAAGGAAGCCGGCGCGTCTGGAGCGGAGACCAGCGGCGCACGCAGCTTCCAGGCTCGGGGAGCCGCTTCCTGCCCTACGCGGCTGACCACCAGCGGGAACCGGCCAGACGCAGCCTTGCCAGACGCTCCTTCGGCGCAGGGACCGAGAAGCCGCGGCGACGGGGAAAACGAAAGCGGCTGCGAGGCCGGCTCCCGCGGCCGGCGCAGCTGCGCGGCGCCCCCGATCCAGGCCCCGAGCCCCAGGACGCGGAGGGTCCCGCCCCGCCCGGGCCCCGCGGCCAGCGTCCCCGCCCGGGCGCCAGGCCGGGCCGCGCGGGCCAGGCGGGCCAGGCGGGGCGCGCGGGCCTGGGGCCTACACGCGGCGGCTCCGGCCCGGCCTGGCGCCCGGCGCGCACGGCCGCGGCCGAGGACGCGGGACACGGCGCCCAGGCGCCGAAGAGCCCAGGCCGCGCGGGCGCCCCGACGACCCGTGGGGGGCCGCGGGAACGAACGGCCGGGCCCGCCGCCCCCGAGCCCCCGCCCCGACCCCGCGAGCCCCCGGCCCGCCCCGCCCCCGCCCCTCCGGCTCCCCGGCCGGCCCCCAGCCCGCCCGCCCGCCCGCGCCGGGCCCGCCAACCGCCGCGCCGCGGGGAGGAGCGCGCGAGTGGCCGGGCCGGTGCCCCGAGCGCGCGGACTCACCGGGGCCGGCTCCCGAGTACATGGTGGCGCCGCCGAGGGCTCCGGGCCGAGGGGCGGCCGCGCGCGCGCCACGGGCCCCGACGCCGCGAGCCGCGAGGGAGCCGCCGGCCGCACGATCCGCCCCGGCGCGGCCGCCTTGCCAAACAGGTTTACCCGACGCGGCCCGGGCGGCGGGCGGAGGCGGCGGGAGGGGGAGGAGAGACGGGGAGGGCGGGGGGGGAGGGCGGAGGGGAGGGGCGCGGGCGGGAGGAGGGGCGCGGGCGGAGGAGGCGGCGCGAGGGCGGGCCGCGGCGGCGCGCGGCGCTGGGGGCTCCGGCGGAGGCCGGGGGAGGCGCCTGGGGCCCGGCCGAGCGCGGGGAGAGGGGACGGAAGCGGACGCGGGGCAGCGGGGGCCGGGCTAGGAGGGGACCCTTCCCCGCCGCTCAGTAGGCGACGTCTCTCCCGCGGGAGCGGGGGGCTGGCCCGCGGGGCCCGGGAAGAGAAGGGGCGGCGCCGCCCTGGGCCCCCCTGGCCCCCGGGCCCTGCCAGCCCGCAGTTGAGTTATTCACCAAAGCGAACGTCGGGAAGCCGCCTCCACACCCAGAGCTTGAACTTGAACGCTCCGGCCCCTTGCGCGTGGCCACACCGCCCCCTGCCGGCACGGCCGAGAAACAGGTCATCTCGAAGCATCTAAGGACGGGGGTCGGTCAGCGCCGGCTGCTGTCGGCGGGACGGGGGTCGGTCAGCGCCGGCTGCTGTCGGCGGGACGGGGGTCGGTCAGCGCCGGCTGCTGTCGGCGGGACGGGGGTCGGTCAGCGCCGGCTGCTGTCGGCGGGACGGGGGTCGGTCAACGTCAGCTCTGTCGGTGGGACGGGGGGTCAACCAACACCAGTTGCTGTCGGTGGGACGGGGGTTCAGTCAACGCCAGCTGCTGCCGGTGGGACGGGGGGGTCAGTCAACACCAGTTGCTGTCGGTGGGACGTGGGCTCAGTCAACACCAGCTGCTGTCGGTGGGATGGGGGTTCAGTCAACGCCAGCTGCTGCCGGTGGGACGGGGGTTGGTCAGCGCCAGCTGCTGTCGGCGGGAAGGGGGTTCAGTCAGGTCAGCTGCTGGGAGGGGTTCAGTCAACGCCAGCTGCTGTCAGTGGGATGGGGGTTCAGTCAACGCCAGCTGCTGTCGGTGGGACGGGGGTTCAGTCAACACCAGCTGCTGTCGGTGGGACGGGGGTTCAGTCAACACCAGCTGCTGTCAGTGGGATGGGGTTCAGTCAACGCCAGCTGCTGTCGGACGGGGGTTCAGTCAGGTCAGCTGCTGGGAGGGGGTTCAGTCAACACCAGCTGCTGTCGGATGGGGGTTCAGTCAACGCCAGCTGCTGTCGGTGAGACAGGCTTCAGTCAACGCCAGCTGCTGCCGGTGGGACGGGGGTCAGTTAGTGCCAGCTGCTGCCGGTGGGATGGGGGTTCAGTCAACGCCAGCTGCTGTCGGTGAGACAGGCTTCAGTCAACGCCAGCTGCTGTCGGTGAGACAGGCTTCAGTCAACGCCAGCTGCTGCCGGTGGGACGGGGGTCAGTCAAAGCCAGCTGCTGTCGGTGGGATGGGGGCTCAGTCAATGGCAGCTGCTGTCAGTCAGTACTTCTGCACTCTCCTCCCACTCCCCGCCTCATCTCCCGGCTCCCCAGTCCTGGGGAGTCTTGAAGGAGCAGCCAGCCAGTGGTCAGCCTCTGTCCCCCATCTTGGCGGGGGATGAGAAGCCAGGGCTGGCCGCTCACCCAGCACAGACATGCACACTGGGGCGAGGCTCGCGCAGCACCAGGGCCGAGTTCCTGGCCGCCTGCAGCCTCGGTCAAGGCAGAACACTGGTCTAGTCCGGACTCGGACAGACCCGGTGCTCCAGTCCTTGACCCAGCCTGCGTCCCGTGGAGTGTGTCCAAAGTCTGTAGGGGGGTGTGGCGTGGACGCGGCTGTGTTGGTCAGTGCCAGGCTGGACACTCGGAAGCTCTAGGGGACTCAGAGGGTGGGTGTCCTGGAGGACTCTCGCCGTGGACGTGGACGTGGGGCGGGCCAGTCCGCACGGTGGGGCGGGAAGGAGGCCATGCAGAGACATGCCCCCCGCCCAGGGACAGCCACCCCCAAGCAGGCCAAGTCCCGCCGCGCTGCGGGGCGGGGTCTCCGGGGTCTCGGGGGCGGGGGGGCGCTGGGGATGGGACAGGGCTGCACACGGAGGTGCTGGAGGCCCTGCGGCGAAGAATCGGGAATGCTGCCCGTCCTCCGCACGCCGCGGCGCCCGCACACTCGAGACCTGGCCGGCCGAGCCTCAGCGGAGGCCCGAGCCGCCGCGGCGGAGAGCCCGGGCCTGGGGCACCTGCTTGCGGGCTCCTTCCAGAAGACGGGCAAGATGCGGTCTCCCTCGCGGCTGGCGGGGTCACTTCCCACCGAGCGCGGCCTCTCGCGGCCCCTGCTGGCCACGAGGCGTCATCACAGCCCGCCTGGGCTGCGTGCATGCAGGCCAGGACACGCAGCGTTGCTCTCTGCTGCCCTCTAGCGAGCGAGCTGTGTCAGCGCTCGGAGGCGCCCTCTCCCAGGTCGGGTCACAGATCTGCCCCTACCCTGCTAGCCCCCAAACGCCCATCCCCTCTGCTTTCCCTCTGTCCCGGGGAGCTTTGCATTTGGGGTAATGGCTGCACGCACAGCAGGGCTGGCTGAGGCAGGCCGCTCCCGGCTTGGCACACTGGGTGCACCCAGCCCCAGCACTAAGGGAGGCCGAGGGAGAAGGACAAGGCACACTCACGGGCCTGTGGGGCCTGCACACTTCTCAGCTTGGGGAGCTCTCAGCTTCAAAGCCAAAAGACGGGCACCAGAATCAATGAGTCCTTCCCCAGGTATTTGCATGGGATTAACCGGGGCCCAGCAACGCTAAGCAAGGTGGCTGGCCTCAGGCCTTCTCAGAGCCTTTAGCAATTACAGAGGCCACGCCTTTCACCCCGAGGTGCCTGGGGTTCCACGGAGCAAACCCGGGAAACACGGAGCCAAAGCTCCGCTGTGTCCGCTTCCAGCTCCAACATGTAAGACGTTGGCATAAAAGTGCTGCTTGTCTTTCTGAATTCAACTCAGGAACAGGGCTGCGGCTTGGCAGATGTGGCTACCATACTAGGAACAGACACACACTGAACCCCACATTACACGGACACCACTTCATGTGGATAGGTAAGTCAGTTCTCATGCTGTGCAGTCAGGGCCACCTCTTTGCACAACTCCAGGGGGCGCCACTGAAGCCACTTCCGGGCTGCCGTTCACATGGAACCGAGCAGTACAAGAGGGGCTGTGTCTAAGAAACTCCTGGACCCAGGAGACTGTTCACTCTCGGCGGCTTTGTGCGCAGCCAACGTGTCACTGACACGGAGACTGAAAAGTCAACTCGCGTGGCGACAGATTTAAATTCAAAACAGAAAGCTGTAAGACTTTGAGGGGGGAAACTGGCTCAAATCTTTAGGACCTAGGGCTAGGCAAACGGGTTAGATTTTGTCCAGAAGCACAATCCATAAAGGGAAAATCGATAATTGAACTGTATCAAAGTTTTAAAAGGCTTCTCCCTGAAAGGACAAAATGACACGCTACGGAGTGGGAGACGTCTGCGAACCACAGGTCCAACACTGGCAACCAGAAAACTCTCAAAACCCCACAGAGGAAAAGCAAACAACGCAAGCGGAACATGGGCACCAGGGGGAAGGGACACAGGGCCGAAGGGGACGTCCAGGCGGGCACACGCAGGGATGCCCCGCGTCACTGACCCGCCGGACACCAGCAACACACCCCATCGGAAAGGCTCAAAACAGTAAATAGTGACAACACCCAGGCTGCGGAAGCCATGTGGCTCCTGACCACTCCGGGAAGCAGCCCGGCGGGCGCCCACCTGGCCACACACGTGACTGCCGCTAACCCAGCAGGCGCGCTCCCAAGCACCCATCTCAGACGACGAGGCAGTTCACACGTACATCTACACGGGGACCTTTCTTGGACAAGAAAGGCAGAGTGACACATAGAGACTGTCCATCTGCGGGTTCACTCCCCGAATGGTTGCAGCTGCAAGGGCCAGGCCAGGCCAAAGCCAGGGGCTGGCGCCCCATCCTGGTCTCTCACAGGGTGGCAGGGGCCAGATACTCGGGCCAGCCGCTGCTGCTCCCCAGGTGCGTTAGCAGGAAGCTGTGTTGGAAGCGGATCAGCCAGGACTTGCGTTGGTGCCCCAACGTGGACGCTGGCGTGGCGAGCAGCAGGCTCACTGCAGTGGCAGCCCCACGTGAACACGGACAGCAGCTACACTGGTGACAGCTGTGGGTGGTGCCCACACAGACAAGAGGCACCCTGTGCAGCACCCAGCGAGACGGGGAGGAGCGGCAGGCGCACAGCCACAGGAGCCCACTCGAAGCACGAGCAGGAGGCCGGTCCATGCGGTCATGTGCCGTGCAGTCCCATCGATGGGACGCCCTTGAAGGGACAGCAGTGGGGCCGGTGCCCTGGCACAGTAGGTGAAGCCTCCGCCTGTGGCACCAGCAGCCCACATGGGCACTGGTTTGACTCCCAGCGGCTCCACTTTCCATCCAGCTCCCTGCTAATGGCCTGGGAAAGCAGTGGAGGACGGCCCACGTGCTTGGGCCCTGCACCCACAGGGGGGACCCGGAAAGGCTCCTGGCTCCTGGCTTCAGATCTGCCCAGCTCTGGCAGTTGCACCATCTGGGGAGTGAACCAGCAGGTGGAAGACCTCTCTCTGTGTCTCCCTCTATAACTCCCTCTCAAATAAATAAATCTTTTTTTAAAAGGAAAGGATGAAATTATATAAACGGAGAGAGCTGATTAGTGGTTGCTGGGGACTGAGGAGGGCACGGGGACAGAAGAGAAGTGGCTGTGGCTATGAGAGGTGACTTGGGCGTCCCTCGAGGGTGGGAAGTCCTGCCTTGACAGTACCCACGTCAACATCCTGGCGGCAACCAAGTGCTACGCTTGTCCAGGACGTCACCCGCGGTCTCCGTGTGACTCCTTACCACGGCACGGAAATCGACAGTGATGCCGAGATAAAAAGTGTCATTGGAAGGCCCCCTCTAGGAGGCTGGAATCCCCAAACGGGATGAAGGCAGACAGCTTGCGAGAAACGCCTCTCCCCTCCCTGGAGCAGTCAGCTCTCAAACCTCTAAAAACAGTTCATGGGGCATGACTGGGCTGTCAGAATCACGACCCGAGACCACCGCTGACCCCCGCCTGTCCGGCCCAGACCCCCCCTCCATCCGCTGCTTCTTGAGGTGAGCTCTCCAGAGCCTTCTGGGTCCTGTGTGCCGAATCCTCTCAGCCTGCAGCATGGTGCGCGCGGGACTTCGCTCTGCGCCTCAGCGCGGCCCCCTTCCTGAGGTGTGACCAGGGATCCAGGCCCTCCTGGCGGCACCAGGGGCTCCCCTGGGAGTGTGGGCGCCCCGCCTTCCTTCTGTGTCTCCGTGTGTGGCACGAAGACCACCTGGGACGCGTGCCCGCTGCCCCGCCCACCTGCTCCTGTCACGTCAGGAGTCACAGGCACCCTGGAGGGAGGGAAGACTGTAGGTGTGGTGTGTGCAGCTTGTAGCATTTTCTGGAGTAAAAAAGACAAACAAAAGAGATCTTTCATATGGAGACCAACTATTGAGTGGAAATGACAGCACGTCCCCAAGGAGCAAAGCAGGTGTAAACGCAAACTCCCAGAGTCCTTTGTGCCGTCGTCACCTGCTGCGATGCTGCTCTGAAATAACCCGATAGGTGTTTTCAGCAAGGGTTTTGGCTATAAGGGCAATGCTTTTTTTTCCCTTAGGATTTATTTACTTATGGAGAGAGAGAGAGAATCTTCCAACTGCTGGTTCACTCCCCAAATGGCTGCAACAGCCAGGACTGGGCCAGGCTGAAGCCAGAAGCCTGAAACTCCATCCGGGTCTCCCACGTGGGCACAGGGCCCAAGCACGTGGGCCATCCTCTGCTGCTTTCCCAGGCACACCAGCAGGGAGCTGGACCGGAAGTGGAGCAGCTGGGACTTGAACTGATGCCAATATGGGCTGCCAGCGTCTCAGGCAGCAGCTTAACCCACTGTGCCACAACACATACTAGTGACAAAAAAATGGAATCGAAACAGAATGAAACACAAATTTAGGAAGAATCCTAGTGAGAAAGGTGCAAACCTTTCGTACAGAATTGGAGTGACGTCACTGAGAAATGGGCTGAGCCGGCAGAGGGAGGGAGACATCCGTGTGTAGGTCAGGACTTGGAACGCATGGTGCCCGCTGTCCCGGCCTGACCGACGCAGTCCGTGCGGTGCCGACTGTCTGAGGGGTTTGTTTTTTGTTTTGTGGGGGAAGGGGCAGAGCTTGACAAGCTTGTGTTTACGTGGAAATGCAGAGGGCAAAATAACCAAGTCCATCTTGAGGAAGACCCTGCCACGAAGCCGCGGTGGTGGACAGCATGGCAAAGCTCTGTCCAGTGGGGCAGAGAGCCAGAGAGTGACCACATGGACATGGGCAGGGGACAGGTCGGTCACGGAGCAGTGGGGAGAGGATGGGCCGCATGGCCTACAGTGCTGGGACAAGGCGCCGAGCCAGTTCTCCGTGCTTGGGAGAGCCAGCAAAGAAAACAACGCAGGAACCGGTCGCCATGTCCGTGGGGTGGGGCGAGGACTGCCACCACGTAGGAAGACAGACCCCGCGTGCCCGCCACCGAGAACTTCCCCGAGAGGCGCTGGGGGTGAGCTCCTTATTTGGGTTTGTTTATTTATTTTTAATGAAAAGAGTTCATGAGACTAAGAAAAATTTGAATCCTGACTGTGTATTTGATGACATTAAGGGAAAGTTATTCACTTTTTAGCTACGATAATGGTGTTTTGGTTGTGTTGGTAGAAGGAGTCCCTGTCTTGTAGGAGAGATACAACGGCTGGAATCTGCTTCAGCGAAACCCAGTAGGAGAGGGGGTAATGGGGCCTGAGGGTCGCCAGGCTGTGCTGTCTGTGTATCCAGAAGTTTCCAGCATGAGGGGAAAGCCGCGCACAGCACCACAGACAGGGTCAAGTACAGAGGAGAGAGCTGGGTGTGGAGGTTGAACTTGGCGCCTGCTCCCACACTGCAGGGCAGGTTCACGTCCTGGTTCCTTGGCCTTGGAGCCAGCTTCCTGCTAACGTGCACCTGGGAAGGCAGCAGCCGGGGGCTCCAGAGCTTGGGCTTCCGCCACGCACGCGGCAGGCCCGGGGGAGTTCCTGCCTCCTGGCTTTGGCCTGGCCCAGCCTGCCCTGGTGTCGTGGGCATCTGGGGAGTGAGCATGCCAATGGAAGACCTCTCTGTCTCAGATTGAAATAAAGGAAGAGTGAAAAGCAGCCCGCAGAGTGGGAAAAGATATTTACGCCACGTACATTCAACACTAAGCAGAGGGAGCCCCTTCAGAATCTACAGTTTAAAAAAAAGAAAAATGATGGTCCAGTAGGAAAATGGGAAAACACAGGCACTGAGAGGCCAGCGAGCACAGGACGAGGTGCCAGCCTCACTGGTCAGCAGGGACGCGGCTGCTGTGGCAAAGTCGGCGAGACCGTGACCGTGACCGCAGCACCAGCGGCTGCAGGCTCCCGCCAGGCCGGGTGCTCAGAGGGCTTCCCGGGGACGCCAGGTTGTGGCCGGGAGCCGCCTCACAGCGACAGCCTCCGATCCATCTCGAGTGCGGCGATCCCTTCAGCACCTCAGCCCGAGTGCCCTGCTATCCCGCGTACACCCCGGCCAGCGTCCTGCGGAGTCAGCAGGCCATGGTGCTACCCTTCCCCAAGAGCTCTGGCCAGCTCGCTCCCCGTGCAGACTGCGGCCGCCCTGCTGCGGCAGCGTGGGGGCGGGCCAGGGGAATGGCCCCTGATGCTCCACACACCGCCAGTGGCGGCTGCACCCTGCCCACAGCACCACACGGCCTCGGGCTGGCCACCGCCTGCGCCAACCCAGAGTTAAGCGGTGCACCAGGTCTCGGAGGGGGACCAAGCTGCCCTAGCGGGCCAGCCCGCGACCAGGACACCCTCCACCTCGGAGCAGCGCCGTGGGGGCGGGGCAGCGACAAGGACAGGGAGACTCACCAGCACCGGCGTCCTGCTTTGTGTTCCAACAACCTTTCCTGGACGCAGGGAGATGGCCTCGCTTCCGGAAACAGGCAGTGGGTGGGGCTGCGCAGCTCTGAGACCTGCCCGGATCTTCCAGGCGCGGACGGGCCACGGGCTTGGCCGTCAACATCCAGGGTGCACGTGTCCCGAGGGTGCACGTGTCCCGCTCCTGCCCGCCGAGGGCTGGAGCATCAGTGGGCGACGCTGGCTGTGACTGCTTGAGACCCTGCACTTCCCCAGCACCCGCACGTGCAAGAGAGCACAGGGCTGGGCAGCGTCCGGACGCCGTGGTCACGCCACAAGGCAACCGCATCAGGCGTCCACCGTGCGTGTCTCCAGGATGGCGCACACACACTTCCCTTTCTGAAAGCCACCGGGGAGGTGGCACTGTGCTGCCGCAGCCTGTCGGGCTCGTCCCAAGCAGGGCAGAGTCTTGTTGGGGTTCCTGAGGGCGTGGGCTTGAGGGGTTCCCCGAGAGGAACAGTCCCACAGCCCGCGGGGGCCTCCCCTCCCTCACGCTAACGGCCCGAGGACCTGTTCCAGACACCGCGTGGAGTTTACGCCACCTTCAAGGCACTGCCCTCCTCCAGGGAAACAGGCAGAGGGCTCACAGCAGGTGGCCTGCAGTGGGACCCCAGCCAGCTCCCAGGAGGCACCGCGGGGCCCTGTGGTCAGCGTGGGTTTCCTCTCAGCATTGGCATCCTTAGAAATTATGTTCATACGGCCCTGAAAATTTGAAGTATCTTAACGCCCCTCACACAGGAAGCTGACACCTAAACTACAAGTTTCAACAGTTACAAAGAATACAACTTCTGGCACGTTGTAAATATTGACACTTAGAAATAAAACTGTCATATCGCTCTGCTAAATGTAACCAGATGGGGTATGAACACACATCCACGCAATGGCCAGCCTACGCCTTTGAAAACAGCGCAGCAGCCACCTCTTCTTCGACATTTAGCTCCGTGACGTCTCGCCTGCACTTGAGAGATTTGAGTTCGCACCGCCATTTAAAGTCCTGCCCAGACATTTGTCCTCAGGTAACATTTTTAGGTTTCAAAGTTTTATTGATCACACGACATAGTTTTCTACAGTGAAAACGTTTGGAAAGATAGATTTTCCGCAAGGATCCATCAGTAAACATTGCAGGTTTATCCGCCATCGCGGCCATGGGCGCACGGCGGATCAGAACACATCGCGCACATTTTGGATAATAATGGTGGAAGTCCAGTCCTGTTAGCAACACATCTCCCGAAGCAAAGCGAGGCCTTTCTTCTCCCCTTGGTTTCCAGACCCAGCGACACCGGGATGCCTCCCTGCTGGACTGGTAGGCTCTGCATCAATTCTATCTCCATCTCCCTTTTAAAAAAAAAAGTTATTTTTATTTGGAAGGCAGAGAGACAGGGACAGAGGGACGGAAATCTTGCTGAGTCATCCCAAAGTGTCCATGTCAAAGCCAGGGCTGGGACCGCAATCCCTCAATCCAGGCCCCCTGGGTGGTGGGGCACCCTGCTACTGGAGCTGCCACCTGCTGTCTTCCGAGGAAGCTGCCCTGGGGCAACCAGGACTCACCCGCAGGCACTCAGATCTGGGACGTGGGCGGTCTAACGGCTGCACTGAGCCCCTGCCCCCATTGCCACGTTTGTTGATGCCGCTGCCTGTGGAGGGATCACCTATGGACAACAGTGGGTCACAGCCCATGGCCGGCTGGTCGACACGTCTGCCTTCAGGGCGAGCAAAGCCAAGAACCGGAAGTCAGCTGACTTCCGGCAAGGCCTCTGTGCCCTACTGGCATCTGTGTGCCTACAAGAAGGTGTGGGAGGCTGGATTCCTGGCCAGAAGCCTGCGCTGCCTTGCCCTGTCCCACAGGGACAGCTTCCCTCTCAGCCCACTGACACTGGGCTTGGTGGGGTCACGGGCGCCGGGAGTGGCTTCCCTCCCTGCGTGGCGGTCTCCGCCCGGCCCCGGTGTGAACACTGGAGCACAGTGCAGTCTGGAATGCGGCATTAGAAGGTGCGGTGCCGCAGAGCTGGGACACACAGGCGGTCTCTTCCTGACACACGCTTCCCACGGCGCTTGCACGCGCTCACCGATTTCTAACTGAGCTACCCGGGCGATGCGGTGGAAAAGGAGAGATCTTGAATGACCAGTGCTGGAAAAACTGGGTGCCCACTGGGGGAGAAGTGAACCCCACCATCCACCTCTCAGCCCTCCCAACAACTCATTCAAGGCAAGCCGCAGACCCAGGGGTGCGCCTTCGGCACGCTGGCACGCTCTCGGGACGCCCCCGCTCCCTCTCAGGCTGTCTGGGTCTGCGTCCCAGCTCTGCTTCCAATTCCCGCGTCCTCCCCGGAGGCACCGGGGACGGCTCGCGTGGCGGGTCCCTGCCCTCCCGTGGCAGACCGGGTTCCCCGGCCCTGTCCGGGCTGCTGCCGGCAGCGTGTGAGCGCTTGAGTGGAGGAGACACTGGCCTGTCTAGCTCTCCGTGTTTCTGCCTCTGCCTCTGCCTCTCCGCCTTTCGAATAAATCTTTCAAGAATGGCAAAAACACTATATGGAAACCAGAGCCCGAACAGAAAAGGTATACAGTAAAGCTTTCAGAGGAAACTGTGGGGAACGCCTTTCAAGCGTGGGGCAGGCAAGGGCAGAGAGCGGGCACCCCACCCCGTAGCGGAGACGCCAGGCAGCAGCCCCCCCCCCCGGGGCGGGGCGGGGCGGGGCGCCCGTGTTACTCCCCCCCTGCCTGCTGGTTCCAGCTTCTGCTAATCACGCTGGGAGGCAGTGCTGATGTTGGAATAGCTGGGCGCCTGCTGGAACCCTCGTGGGAGACCTGGATGGAGCTCCTGGCTCCTGGCGGTGACCGGGCCCAGCTCTGGTTGTTGTGGGTGTTTGAGGAGAGAACCGCTAGATGGGAGTGCCCTCTCTCTGCCTCTCAAATAAATAAGTTGTTTTTTTTTTTTTTTTTTTTTTTGACAGGCAGAGTGGACAGTGAGAGAGAGAGACAGAGAGAAAGGTCTTCCTTTGCCGTTGGTTCACCCTCCAATGGCCACTGCAGCCGGCGCACCGCGCTGATCCGATGGCAGGAGCCAGGTACTTCTCCTGGTCTCCCATGGGGTGCAGGGCCCAAGGACTTGGGCCATCCTCCACTGCACTCCCTGGCCACAGCAGAGAGCTGGCCTGGAAGAGGGGCAACCGGGACAGAATCCGGCGCCCTGATCGGGACTAGAACCCAGTGTGCTGGCGCCGCAAGGCGGAGGATCTGCCTAGTGAGCCGCGGTGCCAGCCTTTTTTTTTTTTTTTAAAGATGTAATAAGAATTATGAGACAGTATCAACAGGACTTCATCAAAAGATACCATTAAGAAAATCAGAAGGCAAGCCACAGACTGAGAGCATTTGTAACACATATAACTGGTGAAGGACTTGTATGCAGGACACATAAAGCATTACTACAGATCAATAGTAAAAATCAACTCAATTTTAAAAAACAAGCAAAGGGAACTGGCGCTGCGCTGTAGCAGGTTAAGCTTCTGCCTGTGGTGCTGGCATCCCATATGGGTGCCGGTTCGAGTCCCGGCTGCTCCACTTCCGACCCAGCTCTCTGCTGTGGCCTGGGAAAGCAGTGGAGGATGGCCCATGTGCTTGGGTCCCTGCACCCATATGGGAGATCCAGAAGGAGCTCCTGGCTCCTGGCTTCAGATCAGCACAGCTCCGGCCGTTGTGGCCATCTGGGGAGTGACCCAGAGGATGGAAGACCTCTCTCTTCTCTCTCTCTGCCTCTGCCTCTCTGTAACTCTTTCAAATAAATAAATCTTTAAAAAGAAAAAAAAAAAGCAAGCAAAAGACTTGAATGGTCATTCACTAGAGAAGATATCTAATCGACAAGTATTATGGGGTTACCAGGGAGATGCAAATTAAAATGGTGGTGAAACTCCACTTCACGACCACCAGGATGAACCACAGGAAAACTGACGCACTCCAGGGAGAATTCACACACGCCGGCACTGGGCAGGTGACACGAAGGTTACCCTCTGGGAAGCTGTCACTTCCTAACACGATGAAACACACAGGTACCCACGACCCACACTTCCTCTCCCGGGATCCACCCAGCGGAGGTGAAACCACCCACACACAGCCTCGAGGACCTGCACACACGGTCACGCTCTGCTCACCCAGCACCAAACCGCAAACAGTGCCGACCGACGTGAGCAGGAGAGATGTGCACGCGGGACAGTGTTCAGTGGCTTACATAAAATACAGCACGAATGCATTTAAAAACATTAAGTGGGAAGAGGCTACTGCAACCAAGCAGGCCGTGTGCCTGAACCGGTACAAACGCCAAGGCCAGGCGAGAGCTCACCACAGAGATGAGAGCAGTCTCTACCCTGTGGGTGGCGCCCTCTGGGTTGGCGGGCATGGCGGGAAGGCTGCACAGGGTATGCCTTTGTTAAAATCCGCTGCATGGTACATTTCACTGACGTAGGCTCACTGCAGGCTTTAAAAGGCTTTTCTGAGCACAAGTGTTGGGTGCAGCGGCTGAAACGCTGCCTGGGTTTCTGGGTTCTAGTGCTGGGTGTCTGCAGCGTCAGCTTCACTTGAGTGTGCACCCGGGAGGCAGCGGGGGGGGCCAAGTACCTGGGTCGGTGCCACCCCCCAGGGAGACCTGGATTGAGTTCCCGGCTCCTGGCTTCGGCCTGGCCTGCCCTTGGCGGCCGTGGGCATTTCAGGGAGCAAACCAGCAAATGAGAGATCTCTGTTTCCCAAAGAAAAATAAAATAGAAACACAATTTCCAAATACATACATTTAAATATACTTGACATTAAATTTAAAAAATCATTATGTTCAGACTTTTCTGAGGCTGGTAATAGCTCATATTCATTTTATTTATTTATTTGAAAGACAGAATGATGTGGTGGGTTGGGTGTGAGGAGAGATCTTCCATCTGCTGGTTCACTCCCTAAATGCCCGCAACAGCCAGGGCTGGGCCAGGCTGAGGCCAAGAGCTAGGAGCTCCACTCAGGTTCCCACGTGGACGACAGGGACCCAAGTCCTTGGGGCCCATCCGCCAGCTGCCGGTGCACCAGCGGGCAGCTGATGTGATGTGGTCTGGCACTTTGAAAAGGGTGTGGGTGTCCCAAACGGCGCTTTCACCCTTTGTGCCACAGTTCGTCCTAGAGGCCTGGAGTTAAACTCAGTACCTAAAGGCTCAGGGACAGTAAGGTATTATTCATTTGCATTTCTGCCACGAAAAAAAGAGTAATAAAATACATCTATTACTTCTTTTTATACATTTTCGTTCATCTCTGGGAGCCACGGTTGACCTTGGTGGGGAAACGGGGCCTGGGATGTAACTTGCAGCCCCTCCTACGGGGAGACCAGGCCCTCAGGGAGGCTTGCTGCCTGCAGAACGTGGCCGCCTTCTCCAGCTCACATAAATGCGCTGGGGCACAGCTCCAGGCACCCCCGAGAAGCGAGCTAGGACCGTGTTTCGGAAGACAGACTACCCCGGGGCTGTGTCGCCGCTCGGCGGGGGAGCTGCTTGCAGTGCTGGCATCCTGGCCGCGCCACTTTTTTTAAGATTATATCTATTTATTTGAGAGGGAGAGTTACAGAGAGAGAGGGCCTCCATCTGCTGCTTCACTCCCCAAATGGCCACAATAGCCGGAGCTGGGCCGATCCGAAGCCAGGAGCTAGGAGCTTCTCCTGGTCTCCCACGCGGGTGCAGGGGCCCAAGCACTCGGGCATCTTCCACTGCCTTCCCAGGCCGCAGCAGGGAGCTGGATCGGAAGAGGGGCAGCCGGGACTCATAGCAGTGCCCATACAGGACGCCGGTGCCACAGGCCAGCCCCGTGCTCCACTCCTGATCCAGCTCTCTGTTGATGGCCTGGGAAAGCAGAACAAGGCTCAAGTACTGGGAGCCATGTCACCCATGTGGGGGACCCGGATGGAGTTTCAGGTTCCTGGCTTCAATCTGGTCCAACCCTGGCTGTGGCAGCCATTTGGAGAGAGAATTAGCAAACAGGTGATCTCTGTCTCTCGCTCTCTCTGGAACTTTGCCTTTCAAATAAATAAATATTAGAAGATAGATTACTGGGCTGGTGCTGTGGGGTAGACGGTTAGCCACCACCTGCGGTGCCAGCATCCCATGTGGGTACCGGTTTGAGTCCCGGCTGCTCCACTTCCGATCCAGCTCTCTGCTGTGGCCTGGGAAAGCAGCAGAAGACGGCTCAAGTGCTTGGGCCCTGCACCCACGTGGGAGACCTTAGAAGAAGCTCCTGGCTCCTGGCTTCGGATCAGCGCAGCTCCACCATTGTGGCCATTTGGGGAACGAACCAATGAATGACAGACTCTCTCTCTCTCTCTCTCTCTCTCTCTGTGCCTCTACCTCTCTGAAACTCTGCCTTTCAAATAAACAATCTTAAAAAAAAAATACGTCATCTATTTTATGCCCTGCAGGAACAAGACAACAAATGAATGTGCTCTTTAAGGTACTTTGAGGGTAACAATGCCCACCACAGCCAGGCTGGGCCAAGGTGAAGTCAGGAGAGCAGAACCGCACCCGGGAGGCCCGTGAACGGCCGAGACTCGAGTTCCCGAGCCAGCAAGTGTGCGGCAGCGGAAGTGGAGCTGGGACTTCAGCCCAGGCCCTCAGCGCGGGCCGCGGGGGCCCTCCCAGCCCCTCGGCCTTCCCGCAAGTCACCCTACAACATCCGCCCCTTCTGACGGTGACTACGTGGTCACACGGGGACCACGCTTCCGGAACATGGGCTCTGAGGGGCCACGCCACGCGCAAACCACAGCAACGGCTCCGCCTTCGCATCGGGGCTTTCTCAGACGAAGGACAAGAAGAGCAGAGGTCGCGCCCGTCTCCGCGGGGCTGCGGCGCTGCGGACCCCACTTCGGGAGGCCCACGCTGCAGGCGTGGGGCCAGCTCCAGGGGCCGGTTTGAGGCACGCATTCCAGCGTTCCCCTCGGCACCCTGTCGTGGGGACGGAAACCTAACGAACAGCGATTCCGAGGCCGGCGGCTGCAAGAGGACTTCAGGTCTGAGGTCAGTGTCCTGGGGGAGGCGCTTGCTCGTGGTTAAGGCACGACAGTGAGGCAGCCCACTGCCAGCCCACTGCCAGCCCAGCCCTGCCACTTCCTCCCCAGCTGCGGGCAGGGGCTTTGTGACCCTGTCCTTCCCCGCGGCTGAGCGCCCAGCGGGGGCTGTCCCTGGCCGTGCTCGCCGCGGTCAGCCCTGTTCCCACCGCCCGCCGGCTCCCTCTCACCTCACCCTCCAGCTCTGGGCACGGCCAGGGCCCGCGTCAGCTTCTGCAGCTTTGACCTCTGACTCCCCACCCTCTCTCCGCAGCCACGATGTGGGCACCCTCGGGTTTCTGTTTCCCTTCTTTCCCCAGACTCACCTAGCGTCCCCTCCCACGTTAACTAACGGCAATCACACTTAGCGGGAGTGTGTCACCCGTGGTCGTGGGGACCGCATCGCCCCAGAATGTAATACAGAGCGCATGTCCCCGGTGCCATCAGCGGCACTACACACTTCAGCATCCCCGGAGGTCGGTTCCAGGACCCCGATACCAACACCCACGGATGCTCAGGCCTCGCCTGCAGGATGGGACCGTACTGCACGTAACCTACATGCGTGCCCCCGTGCACACTACATGGGCTGCAGGCCACCTGTGACGGCTAACACACGTAAACTACGTAAAGGGTCGTGACACTCATCGCTTAGGGAAGTGGGACAAAGACAAAGCCCGCCCGTAATCTGTAGGGACACAGTTTTTTCCGAATGTTTCCCATCTGTGGCTGGTTGAATGGGGAGGTGGTGCAGAGCCCCTGGATCCTGGTGGCAGCTGAGTGTCCCGTGTGCCAGCACCGGAGGAAGCTCCGCTTGGCTGTGCCCTGACCTGAGGGAGCCTCCTGAGAACTGCGGGCAGCATTTGCGCAGGTGCTGTCACCTGGACCCGCAGACCCGCCGCTGTGCCCCCGGCAGGCTGACTCAGGACACACACACATACGGCAGAGAGAGCCGAACCCACCGAGTTTCACTGCAGATTGGTTTCTGTGGACAGCTAAGCGCTTACACACAGTGAAGGTGTCAGAAGACTTCCAGGGGCCGGAGCCGCGGCTCACCAGGCTAATCCTCCGCCTGCAGTGCCGGCACCCCGGGTTCTAGTCCCAGTCGGGGCGCCGGTTCTGTCCCGGTTGCTCCTCTTCCAGGCCAGCTCTCTGCTGTGGCCCGGGAGTGCAGGAGGATGGCCC